CGGTGATGGTGAATGAGCTATCTACTTAGGATGCGAAGAAACTTGCATCCCCGGGTCATCCCTTGCTTCCGCAATGTTCGAGAACATCCAAACCTTGTTTCTTTCGGTTGCGCGCGGATTGCATTTGGGGATCTTGCACGATGCGCCAGCGTTGGCCTAACTGGTAGAAGCGATCAAGCTCTTGTCCTTCTCCTTCTTTTGTCAGGGAGTTTGCAAGTTGCGCGTGTGAGTGCACCCATCGGATCACAAGCTCGGTCTCTTCCAGGGCTTCTTTTAAGCCTATCAGTTCCAAGGCTGTGCGCTGTTCTGGTCCCTTTGGAACATAGACAGTTGACTTCATGCGATCGAAAACATTTGTTGAATCGGTCACCAGTACGGCGGGCACTTGCTTTACAAAGCTCGCGGCCTGTCTGACTCGAATCTGAGTGCCCAACATTTCAGAAAGCTGGAGTCTCACTGCAAACAACTGGTCTTCTCCATTTATGGTTGCTAAGCACTCGGCAGCTCCTGGAGAGCGGCACTGTCGGGTGATCTTGGTGGAATTCCAAGCCACTGGACTGATTTCGCATAAGTACCCTGCCAACAGACGCTTCGAGGTAATTCCTATGAGGATACCTTGTGTGCTCTTGCCGTCAACCCTGTTCTGTACAGAGGCATCCGCCCAACATGCTACCAACAAGTCTTGCGGGTCATGGACATGTATCAACATCTTGTGTTTCTTGTCGCATTTGGTTTTGTATATGAGTTTGTTCGTCTCAAGTAGGGTGGAGACTGTGCTGGTAGTCACTCTGGATAACAAGAGGCTCACTGCAGCTCCAATCTGTGGACTGGTTTGCTGGGCACACCAGCTCAAAGCTCCCAGCGCGGCTCGCAGCTGCGTCTTCTCGCGATCATTGGTGAGGGAGCTAGGTTCACGGCGGCGTTCGGAGCATATAGAGATCTCCTTCAGGTCTTCAAGGTATTGTGATTGATTCATTTCATAACCCCCTTCCGGTCTTTTCTTGATTTGGACTCCACACTGAGTGAAATTGTCCCATTCCCAAGTTCCCCAATCAAACTTCTTTCTAATTTGGTCACACAAGTTGGTCCATGTCTGGTCACTTTCACGCCCGCAAAAAAGAAAGTCGTCAACATGTCCACTTATGAGTCCTACCAGCCTGCCATCTTGTGACACATACTTGAAGCAACAGGGGTCGGTAACACAACGCGAAAACCCAATTGAGATTAAGAAGTCCGACACCGTCAAGTACCATTCCAGTGGTGCGTCAACCAAGCCATAACATGCCTTCTTCAGGCGCGTGATGGCGCCTGGACTGAGTCCCATGCCGATGCATATTTCATCGGTGGGTATCACATAAGATTCACCTTGGTACTCCCGGCCTTGTAAAAAGGCACCCGAGACATCTCCCTTGGCCACTCGAAAGCCCAGCGCTGATGATATCACCAGCAACAACTGACAGGTGGTCCTGGACATGGTTGGTGCGGCAGTTTGCCGCTCGGCATACTTAGGGTCCATGTATCCTAAGATAACACATCTAGCTTTCGCCTTTTTGTTTCCTTGGTCATCGCGTTTCCAAACCAAAATCCATCTCATCCTCATGACCTTTGATGGATGTGGCCTGAGATGTGGCGGAAGTGCCTCCAGGGCCTGTGCTCCTATGTATTTCTTTACCTCTTCTTGTTTGGCGTTTGTCATGAGAATTCTCTCTTCATCCGTCAAGTGTTTTTCGTTTACCTCCACCGATCGACGTCGAAGGTTTGACACCAAGAAGCTTTCAAAGGAGTTTGTCATATATTGTTTTCCGCGGTTTGTCTCTGGTGTTTCGAAAACGATTTCGACAGCAGCCTCGGACTGCGCCCAAAACACTTCAGCACTCATGGCATGTTCAGTGAGTGGTGTAGTGTCCATGTCGACTACCAAACCCTGTTCATGAACAAACAACATGTCATCATCTTCATCCACACTAGGTCTAGTAGGTGGGGGACATTCTGGAACATATGCCTTATGTCGTATTCGTTTGTAAGGTCTGATCGTTTCCTCATCCACCGCACGTTCGAACTCCGGAAGTTCTGGTACATCACCTGTGACATCTTCATAGTAGTGTTTCGAAAGGTCCTCGGTCAACTTCGTGAAGGTCCACGGAAGATCTGGTGGATTGGTCAACAATTCAAGAGCTTCTTCACGAACTGAGGCTCGTCGTAGCTGTTGTGGACACGCTTTGATCAATCTTGAACCTCTGGTCAGCCACACCACAGAACCTGGTCGATATGTGTTGTCCTCATTCAGCTTGGTTTCCAGGGCCAACACTCGAGCTGGTCCAGTGAAACCTCCAGTCCTGGCTGAACTAGCTGGCCCCCTGGTTTGGATTCTCCACACGTATACTAAGTCGCCGGGTTGGTATTGTTCCAGTTTGTAGCTACGTGTGTTTGCGGCTCTTCGGAGCCGTTCGTCCGCGATCCATTCGGTCATGGCATGTTCTGCGGTGGTCATGCGGTGTATGTTTCTTTGAAACTCACCCTCACTATTTTCACACAAACCTGGGGGAATTTCTTTCATTCCACTGGGATGAAACCGACCGGCGGAATCGGGCGAACGACCGAGCGCGTGCTGTGCAGGACTGTAGCCCCGGACAATTTCTCTTTCATTCTCGGTCCTTAGGGCTTCAGCCAATGCTTCCTGTGCTGTGATCTCAGGATCTTCCATGGCCAGTTTGGTCATGATGTGTTTGGTGCATTTGATGGCCCGCTCGACATGGCTAATCTGCCAGTGGGCTTCGGCGGGAATTGTGTCCAGTTCTATGTTCTGTGAAGACATGTAGTCAGCCACTTGTCCTGATCTCCAGGCTCCAGCCGGGTCAACACGCAGTCTGTCTGGAAGTCCAAAAACAGGTTTCCACAGTTCCTGAAACACGTTTATGAGGTCCTGTCCGTTGATCCCCTTTCCCCGACCGGTTTCCACCACCCGACCTACTCGAAACCGACATCCCTCATCAATCATGAGTGTGAATTGGTATTTCTTTCCATCGGTAGGGTGATTCCAAAAAGCATTGTCCGCCTGAACAACCTTCCATTTTGGGGGAAGGGGTTCCAAGGAAACCTGAGGTCGGGGCACCATACGTTTGGCTTCCTGACATGTTGGACACTGATAGCTGCGAGCCAACTCCAAGAGTCTAGGATCCGAACCTCGAGCCTGAAGTGCTTTGACTAAGTGCTCAACCGGACTGTGTCCCGAGTTCCTGTGAAGTCCGGCGATCTGTCGAAGGTATCTGTTTCGTTCTTCGGTGTTCAAGGGTGCGAGGCCTGTCATGGGGTCATCTTCAGCTGCCATGCTAAAGGGGTGTTGTGATTCCTCTAACATCTCACAATGATTACAGGACAAGGAGCTCTTTGGATGGGTGATGGTATCACAAGTGCAACAAACCGGTCTTCCACTGCGACTGCTGGGAATATCGATCTGTCCTCGAAGTTCCGTCACCAGGTTGTCCCTTTCAGTGTCACGCCAGATGGTGCGGCACACTCGTTTAGCAAAATCATTTGTGTAATATGCACTTTCCCTCGCGAGTTTCCCTTCACACCAAGCATGCTTGACCCCACACAGACAAGGGAGTTCCATACTCTGCAACAGCCCCTCATGAGTAGACGCTATCTTCCAACCTTTTCCCATCAAATCACCCTTGGGGGACACTCTCAATCCGACACGACAACCCTTGACCACACAAGTCTTCAATTGATACCGATTCATCATGTTTTGAACCATTGGTAACCGCCAAGCATCACATGTCTCCGACCATTCCCAAGAAACGGACACCCCATGCTGAATACAATGAGTCATGATCAACAAACCTCCAACGTATTGCCTAATGCAGTTGTCTCGTTTTTGTTTCAAGTTCTCCATTTGTTCCGGAGAGCGTTGATTCACTCGCTGCATCCTTGAAAAAGGTCCGCATTCAGTGCTAATCCAAACATGGAGAGGTCTGTCCTTTTTGATCTTGTTGATTGCCTTGCGCACTCCCGTACTGGTGGCAAGGTCATAACCGTTCCAAAAAGAAAGACGTTCAGCTGCGCTTTCCCTACCGGTCATTTTTCTCATGGTATCCGTCAGGAGTGAGTCCGGTCCACATGCTACCTCAAAAAGCAAGGGCCGTTCATATCGGATGAGTTCCCCAAATGCAGCGGGGAGCTCCTCCATGGCCTGAAGGCTCAGTAGCTTGGTTTCTCGCTCACTGAGCACCACCTGAGGTGCAGGCAAGAGAGTTTCCAAGCCTTCGGAGAAAAACCCTTTGGAACCGTCTACTGATCCACTGGCATCTGGGAGGTTTTCTCCCAGTCGCTTGAGGTGGCGGCCGAGGGTTGCTTCCGGCGCGTCTCCCGATCCTCCTTCATGTCGGCCACCTCCTTGGTGAGCGCCTTCAAGGCTAAAGCCATTTCCATCATCTCTGAGGATGAACTGGACTTCTCTGCGTCCTTCTTCTTGACTGGGTAGCCCTTCTTCGGGTTCTTGGAATGCTCTGCTGTGGCTTCCGTCACTTGCTCCAGCTCCGTATCTCCTCCAGCCATTTGGCCAAGCGATGAAGCTTCATGCTGCTCTCTGGGTCCTCCTTGGAGGTCTGCATCACCCAGCGAGCATAGCTGGGCTGTTCCATCCAGATCTCCTCGTACTTCTTGTCGCAATGCTTGCCGAACCCGACGAAGTCCGTGGGATGAGGAGCTGCCATCACATAGGCCTGGTTCAGGCCCTTCACCTTGAGCTGAGCAATGGTCTCGGTGCCCGTCAGGGTCATGCCCATGTTGACCGTCAGGTACTCCTGGAGGGTTGCCTTCCGAGCTGAGGCCTTGTTGATGGCCACTTCGAGAGTCCTCAATGGGCTGAGTTCCTTGCTCTTTGGCTCCAAGATCACCTCTCCCTCGAGCTCGCTGAGCCGATGAAGCAATTGTGCCCGAGTCCACTTGGTTGGAGCCACTTCCCCATGGTACTTCTGGAGACGCTCGCCAAGCTCCACACGGGTCATGCGGGACACCATGATCACCACAAGCTTCGGGAGAGAGGTCGTGCTTTCCAAAGAACGAAGCGGAAACGGCTGCGGATGTTTCATCAACTTCACTCAACGGTGGCCGATCGATGACACCGAGCGCAGGTTTCACGACACCCTGAGATCGATGGTCCTCCGTGACCTGAGTGCGTGACGAAGTATCGGGTGGCTCTGAGCTCTGACACTGACTAGGGTCTGTACCAAAAGTGTGATGTGCACAATCATGTGATGTATGCGACACACGTGGCATGGGTTCCGTTTTGAGGCCTTGGTTTCGTTCTCTCCCATGGAAGCCGGGCTGAAGAGTTTCATGTTGATCATAATCGGGGTTTGGTTCGCATCCCAACTGACTACCATGATCTACCATGACATGTCCGTGAAAAACCATTCCTGCTGCTACGCTGTCCTTTCCACCCTGCGCAGGCGACGGGATGGAAAGGTCATATCCCTATTCGAGATCACTAAAGCACGGCAGCGGCGCTCGCAAGCTGCGGGCAGTCTCATAGGCATCCGTCGTGAGAGGCAGCACTTGGTGTCCAGCTGCCGTGCGCTCCAGGCGCACCACCTTGGTCGGATCCACTGCCCGGAAGACTGCGCGATCCGATGCGTAGTCGATCACGGCGCCTAAGCTTCTCAAGGAGCTGATTGACAGCAGCACTGGCGCTTGGCCTTTGTCCAGGGCGTGCACCTTGAGAGTGCCCATCTTGCCACCGAGCGGGACCAGTAATGATGCCGTTGAGGCGCACTGGTCCTTCGAGGAATTTCCAAACCCAAAAACTGGCCGGTCAGCAAGGTCCACTTGTTGCACCCCAGAGTCACCCCGGATGGATTCATTCAGATCTGCAACCCTGGAGAGGGCGGCAATGGAGCCAATGGTTTTCGTGGCTCCGCCGTCAATGACAGCTTTTCCCTGCAGCATCACATCCTGGGTAGAGATGGTGGCCTGGGACTCGCCCATGAGCGCCTCCCCCACCGTGTCGGTGAAGAAGACGAAAGGTGCCTGCTCCTGGGTGTTCACGTGGGCTGACTGGTCAGCAGGCTTCTCCCGACATTCGGCCACCTTGTGTGGGCCACCACATCGGAAACATTGCATCCGTGGAGGCGTTTTGCCAAGTCGCTTCCACAGGCTTTGAGGTTCATTGCCCTTGCCCTTCCCTTTGACGGGGTAGTACTGCCGTGCCATTCGAACGGCATGCTGTTTAGCTCTGGCCTCCCTCAGTGTCTGTCGAGCCTCCTGCATCACGGCGTAGGCTTCCACCATTTTCTCTTGCTCCACTTCCATGGACTGGATCTCCTCGGTGGTGAAGCCCTCTTCCATCAAGCCATTTGTATCAAGCTCGCTCCAGAAGCCCTTGTTCTCCTCCGGGTCGTGGTCCTCAGTCATGTGGGCCATGTACTTGCCCTTCTCCATGTCGCGGCGCTTGACGTCCGCATCCGTCCAGTGTTTCCTCAACACTGTCTCCACGGCTCGGACACTGAAATCACCTTGTAGGTCAGCGTGGAGAACATTTCTTTCCATCACGTCCAAGCCGGAGTCCATGAAGAGGTACCAGCCTTGGATGAAATCTGGCAAAATCTCTGGGAGCTCATCACGACTGCATTCCAGGGTGTCGGACTGTTTCCAGGACTCAGTATGATGGCTCCTGGACTGGTGAGAGTGGGCTTCTTCCCACTCATCATGCGCATGCCATTGCGCCCAGGGATCATCCTCCTCCGTCGCAAGGTCGTACCCCTCATTCTCAAACTCATAGGACTGCTCCTGCAGAGGTTGACTGTTCCTAGCCTTCCAGGTTCTCTGAGGGCCAGCTATTGATGAATGCTGAGATCTTGGATCTGAGTTCACTGACTTTGGCTTCTTTGGATGTTCTCGTTGATACCGGGCCATTGACTGTTGTGCCCGGGTGTATGCCTCGGCTTTTCTCATCACGAAGTCATTCATGCCCTCGCCCCGCTGGCGTCTGGTGCCCTTGAAGTACTTCATCAACAGCTCGCTCATTTCAGGAACCTTGGATTGGCCCCTTTCAGCACGAAGAGCTGCCACTAATCGACGGACCCCTCCATCGAAGGACAGCCAGTCCGCTGACTTGCCAATCAGGATGCGCCTGGCTGATCCAGACAGTTCACTGGCAATTCGAGGCCCACAAAGGTATCGCTTCTCTTTGACCACGGTCTGCTCATACAGGAGACAGGCTTCGACGAACTCTTCGAAGGTGGAGCTGTCTCCCGACCACACCGGCACCCCATCGCGATTCTTGAGAATCGCCCCTTGGTTGCCACCTGAAGACTCAACACGGCCTGGCGGTGCTGAGTACCATGACATCATCATTCACCTTTCTCACACGAGCCCGCAGGCTCCGCTACCATGCAGGTAGCAACCACAAAAGCAGGCGGTCAGCCGGCGTCACTATTG